TGACATGAGTACACATATCTGATTAAAAACAGCGGCTATTTTTATTGCTAACAATCTTACTGTTGCACGAAGCCATGCAAAAATGCACGATTGTACCGGGAACTCTATTGCACGCTGCCAATTCAACACAGAACTGGTAGACTACTTAAACGGATTTTGTAATTCCAGACTGAAACAAACTAGTGCTTGCTTTAGGAATTGGTATCTCATAACGCGACAGTATGATTTTATGGAAAATTTCTTAAAAATGCAGTGGATACGTGCAGATTGTAATTGCACTTCATCCTACTAATCAATGATTAATGATTAGTAGGATGAAGTGCAATTTGGTTCGGGGACAAGATATGGTAGAGTTAAAGAGCTGGAAAGCTGATTTCAGGTCTTTTATTTCTTTCATTGGCGAACAAACGTCCCACAGTTCCTGATAGACGGCTTGTGCTGCTCAGAAATTGTAAAACTAGCCAATATGTGAACCTGAAGTTAAACGTAGAACTGCAGCAGCAAGAAAGCTTATTTCAGATTTTTCAGTAGAATTATTTGGTGAACTGGATCATCAAAAATTTTTACGTCGTAGTTTTTTTCATTTTGTTCAGCACTTAAATTAATCGCTGCTCGTCTCAGCGCAAGTCAGGAACCTTCATATTAATAACTATAAAAGAAACGCGTATTTTAATTTAGGGTAAGACTTATCTAAAAGGACACATAAGGGCTAATTAAGATTTGTAGCTTCACGTACAGTGAAGGTTACTCGTATCCAAACTTATTTTCTTTCTTGTTTGAGCATCAAATGTTGTAGTAATGGCATACAAATATGATTTTGCTATAAGCATTTTTTTGATTCGAGAGCACACAAATAAGCAGTCACCTGTCTTTCTGAAAGCTGTAAATTTCTTGCCAATTTTTTTCGTTCTTGTGATGACAAATACTTATGACTGTCAAATTTTTGCTCGAGCGCATCCGTTTGTTCATTTGTGAATCTTATCTGACCGCCTTTCCGTTTATGCTGCGATTTCTGAATGTATGGCTGTAGCCAAGGCAGCTGTGGATCCCATCCTAGAAAATAATTACTGATAAAATCAAAACTGGCGACTCTCAATTCATTTAATTTGTGTGGTCGACTTAGATTTTACCATAACAGATTTCGTATTTTCGTGAAAAAGAACAGTTAGTCAGTGTTTCTCTGCCGTGGTGATCGTAATTGCCATAGAAGAAGCCTTAGCCCGGCATAGAATGCTATTTTAAATTTCGGATTTAGTCATTCCTGCCGCAATGTTCTTGACGAATTTCGACCGTGACCCTTTTATTATGCGTTTGTGCTGGGCAACAAAAAAAAAAAAAAAAAAACTCATATTGTCGCGAAGTTGCCTGTGTGCTTGTGTGAGTGTGTGTGTGTGTGTGTGTGTGTGTGTGT